TAAATGAACAACCTATATTAAGCTGTACTCCAAGAGTGTATTCATGAAGATGCTTTATGTCACATGTGGCTTTTTATTTCTAAATATTTTATTCATTACTTTTATTTTATGTGTATGTGTGTATTGCCTGCATGTATGCAAGTGCACCCGTGTCATGCAATGCCTGCAGAGGTCAGAAGAGGCTATCGGATCCCCTGGGACTGGAGTTATGGGCAGCTGTCAGCCGCCATGTGGGTGCTGGGATTCTAACCTGGGTCACAGTGTTCTTAACCGCTGAGCCATCTCTCCAGCCCCTAGAGTGGTAATTCTTATAATTTTCTTCTTATCTCACTAAAATCATAGCACTAATCAAGAACAGTATACTCAGGCCAGGTATGGTGGTACATGTTTTTAATTGCAGCACTTGGGAGGCAGAGGCAGGTCCATTTCTGTGAGATTGAGACCAGTTGGGGCTATAGGGAGAACATTTTGTCTCAAAAAAAGAGAGAGAAAGGAATGGAGGAAAAAAGGAAGGAAAAGTATGCATACCCACAAGCAAATAGAGAAGTAGGATGTAGATAGAAATGAATGCTCCCTGATGATTCCCACATACCACCCACAATTATCATTACCTGCAATCTCAGGAATCAGTTTGAATTTGGCAGCAGTAACATAAACTTAATTACAAAACAAATATAACACACTGGCTACCAATACCACATATGCTATTTTGCCATACAAAACTAAAAGTATGCTAATGTGGAAGATTCCTTTAGAAAGCTAAGAGCAACAAACAAGCTTCCTATCATGCATCTTTGGCTAAAATTGTATGACATCAGCTAAAATCACTGTTCAAGAAAAAATTAATCTTATTTGTATGAAGCCAGTAAAATTATAAAGTATTGTTTAACTTAAATTCAGCAAGAAACTGTTAAGGATACAGTATTTCTCATTAGTATCTTCATTTGGAAAAAAAATGTTCTAATTTCATATTCTAAAACAGAGATGAGAACTTACAGGCTTTAGTTTTAGCCTTTTGCTATGAAAATTTCAAATATTTAAAACAGTGTCCATAGTGCCACTAATCCTCATGTAACCATCCTAGGGGTTTGAACCTTATTAGTATTTCTGCCACATTTTCTAGATGGTAAGTTAAAACAGGAAATACAGATACTTATAAAATTATGTTTTGCAGGATCTAGTTTTACTAACGTTTTATATAAGAGTTCTCTTAAGATCTCCCAACCTAATACTAAAAAACAGATGAAAAAAACCCCAAAACCTTTTTATCTGAACAGAGAATCTACAAAGGCAAAGGTTTAGACAAGTTTTCTGCTTCATATGGACAAGACGCAGACATGGCATCTACGTGATCACACACAGTGCCAATAGTTTGTCCAGTGATGTCTACTAAATCAAGCAAGTGAATATTTAAGGTCTGAAAGTCTTTTCATTTAACTACAAAACTAGCTGTGGTTGCACCCTGAAGCAAATCAGGTGGGTTATCAAGTAGCAAGAAGTCTGTAGGTTGGTTTAGAGAGGGGATGGTGAGAAATAAGGGAACATGGAAATCTGTGAGGGCTAAAGAGGGTGAAAACAGAACCAGATTTAAGTTTCCAAAGAGCATTTGTCACCAGTGTGAAAGAAGCTAGAAAAAGGAGATCAGGTCAAAATTGGTAAAATAGTATGGTAAGGCAGTTACTATAGCAGAAGACAAACACCAGAGGCAATCGTGACTAGGAAAAAGAGGGGTAAGAATCCTTTCACTGAACATCTGTGGAATGTGAAGTAAGGACGACAGCAGACTGAGACTTCCAGAAAGATGCTCTATTCCAACATTTGGCACATGGGAAAAACACTAAGTATCTGCTCAATAAAAAAAAGACTTTAAAACATTCATTTGGGTCAAGTTCTTCTGCTTCCATAAACTCATTCACTTGATTTATCTTCCAGAACTGGAGGCAAAATAGTGTCACTGTGTTCCGTACCTTTGTTTCAACAAGCAAGTGTATTCTTGAGAAAAATATACATGTGTACTAAATATGTACAGACTTTATTCCTTGTCACTATTCTACCCCATAAACAATCAAGAATAACAAATCACACAGCATCTGCACTGAATTAAAGTACTATAACTAACAGAGTGATGATTTAAAGTACAGGAAGAGGGTCACAGTCTATGTGTAATTACATGCCATTTTACAGACGCAATCTGAGCTTGGATATCCACAAGGGACCTGAATCAGCCCCCCAAATAACCAAGGGACAACCAACTGGCTGCATTTGGTTCTGACTTGCATTTATCACAAAAATGGAATTTTAAATTTTATACAGAACACGAAAAAGGAAAATATGTCTAATTATGCCTCAAAGTACTGAGGAGTCACTTTATTCTGTACATGTAAAAGTTTGTTTCACACTCTACTATAGGTGTTTCACTTGTCTTACATATAAACAAACTATAAACACTCTGACCAAAATGTCAGCTTTAATGAAAGTGGCAATCCATGCTCCCTATAGCATCTTTCCACAAATTAAAATCTAACAAGTCATCTCTCTATAGTCCTACCAATGTAATACTGCTTTATAATTCTACTCTACTTAAACCAGTGCGAAAAACCATAATTTATATTCTCCCTTCAGTTTTTATCATCCCAATCAACTTTTCTTTCCACCAAACTGAGAAGAGAAATTTTTGCCCACCCATTTAAGGAAATCTCTATTATTCTATTCAGAGACCTATCCTCATCTTTGCCCCTACAACTCCTTCTGACAGAATTTCAAACAGAACTATAAGCACTCCCAAGCAACTACTTTTGATCACTTATTTAGGAAATTTGAAAGAAAAAAAAAACAATTCTTTTAAAATAACTGTAAGAAATACAAAACCAGAAAAATACTCAGCTGAGAAGAAAAATAAAATATTGAGAAAATGCTTTTTAAACTTATTTTATTTTTATGTGTAGGAGTGTTATGCCTACATATGTGTAAGTAAACCTGTGCCATGCAACACACACAGGCAGAAGGGGGTATCAGATCCCCTGGAACTGGAGTTACAGATGGTTGTTAGTGGATGCTGGGATTTGAACCCAGGTCTTCTGCAAGAATAGCCAGTGCTTTTAACTGAACAGCCATCTCTCCAGCCCAGAGAAAACATTTTTTTAAATACATTTTTTTATATAGCCCTGGCTGGTCTGGAACTCACTATGTAGGGCCAGGCTGGCTTTGAACTCAAGAGATCCACTTGAGAAAACTTTTTTTTAAAGAACTATAAATTACGTAGAGTGTCCCAAAAGGTAAGTCAGGTAAAATGCAGGCAGTCCTGCACTCAGGACAACCCACAACTTCAAACCCAGTTGCAGGTTTGGTAAGTGATTCCTCTGGTTGACAGAAATCCCCCTTTTCACTTTGTGATGCGGAAGGCAGCAGCTGGGTACCATCTTGAGCATAAGCCAGTTGCTAAAAACTGAGCTACATGAAAAGCCTGAGATCAAGGTTGAGGAGTCACAATTTGGTCTGCCATAGCCCTTGAGTAAGGAAAGGCCCAGGGAGGCAGGTGTGGAGAGGGGGAGAGCCAGACATTAACAAACCAAGGGTACATACAGCAGGAGGCTGGGCTAAGGCTAGAAGTTCCTAGGGAACGGTAACTTGATGTAGGTGGCCAAGAGCAATTATCATTAACTGAAAATAACCCCTGGAGTTTGATAGGCTTAAGCCTGAGGACAGTGAATAGATCATCTCTATAGCCGTGTATCTATAATTAAGTACCGCATCTCTTCAGCAGGGTGATTAATACTCAGAAGGTGTTGAAAAAGCAGGAAGACAGCTCTTGCACCTGCACTGATCTCAGTGCTAGGGTCCCATTCCACACTCCTGACACACTGTGAAAACATCCCTGCTTAAACAGTAGCTACACCAATGGGTGTGATCTAGGGAGTCTCAGGAGGGTGAGAGAACCCACTCAGCTCTCAGGCTGCAAACCTAAGTGTGGCCAGAAGAGTCCCCTCATACATAAAAGGCACCAAGATAAAGGAAGACAAGTTCAGTGGATATTAGACACCTCTGTATTACAGATGCAGCACCAGTATAAAGCATAGAGAAAATCTCCAAGTTCAACTAATCCTCCCAATCTCCATGCTTGTAAACCCTACTTAAAGAACTGAGAAGCAATCTGCTCCAAAACCTCATCCTTTGAAGTTACACTTTTATATTTTCTTTTTTTGTATTGCCTGCAGGTATGTGCATGCACCCATGTTGTGCAATGCTGCGGAGGTCAGAAGAGGGCTTCAGATTGCCCTGGAACTGGAGTTAAGGATGGTTTGTAGCCGCCATGTGGGTGCTGGGAATCGAATCCGGGTCCTCTGCAAGAGCAGTCAGTGCTCTCAACCACTGAGCCATCTCTCCAGCCCCTACTTTTATATTTTCACTTCATAGTATTTTCAATTTTTTAATGTTTTTATTTATTCCCCTTCATTCATCACCTAATTTTGCTTATACTGGTTTCGTCTTGGGCAGTATTTCATCTCCATGCTTCCTTTTATTCTTATGCTGTTTCCGCTCACATTTACTGTATTTATTACTTTTTTGGTTTGATTTTTTACTCCTCATTTTGTTTAATTATTGATTTCTGCCGGTTTTATGTTTTGTTTTTATTGTTTAT